GAAGAGAGAGCCACCATATTCCAGACAATGTTATGAGTGAAACACCATTTTGATATTATCTCTAAACAGACTTCCTTGGATATGTGTCCAACTGAATGCACCAATGGCGCTAACGTGTGCAAAGCTTGACTGGTTATCAGAGACTGGTTAGAATGCAAATTTGCAGGCAATTTCTGCCCCTGCCAGGAATTCAGTTCTGAATGGCTCAAGGTCGACTCAGCCTTTTGATGTTAGTAAAATGAGAACCCAGATTGTTGGGGGCAATTTGCTGACTCTGTAAACTGCTTAGAGAGCACTGTAAAGCACTGTGAAGCGATATATAAGTCTAAGTGCTAGTGCTATTGCTTATTCTTAAATTGACCACATGTCAGGTTTATAATGATTATGCTTCCTACTTCTCTCCAATCTAGATTTCTGCTTATCCTTTTGCAAATCATACTAGCATGATATACCAATGCTCGAGAAACAGCCTGTTTTGTCTCTCTTCTTCATCTGGTTAGCAATAGCATTTAGCACTTAAACTTATATACCGCTTACAGTGCTTTACAGCCCTCTCTAAGTGATTTACCGAGTCAGCATATTGCCCCTAACAATCTGGCTCCTCATTTTATCGACCTCAGAAGGATGGAAGGCTGAGTCAACCTTGAGCCGGTGAGACTCGAAGTCTGGCAGTCAGCAGAATTAGCCTGCAATACTGTATTCCAGGGGTGTCAAACTGCCGGCCCACGGGCCAGACACCTCACGCAGAAGCCGCAGAGATATGATACATGATTTGATCCCAGCCTTTTGAAAAAGAAGACATTATTTCAGAAACATACCCTACCTTTTAACTGATAGAGCATTCAGGATGAATACTGTCTAAAATGAAATATTAGCCAGCAAAAATGATTATAAATGCAACCAGGGGTGCCCCGATAAATGCATAACTGGCTCTGCTAGCTCCTCTGCTGTTCCCAAATAGCTGATCAATGTGCTCAGTATTGCGGCTCAGCTCTGCTCTCCACTGACTCACAACCTTTCTGACTATCTAACAATCGGCTCTCATGAGACATACGAGCCAACTGCAGCACACCCCAGGTATAACCTGAGAGCCTGGCAGGAGCCTTTTGCTGATGCACAGAGACTCTTCATCTCAACCTCCTTTCAAGGTCATTGCTGTCTGCCAACCAGCCTTCTCCTAGCATGTGGGTTCTCATAAGAGCAAGAAGAAAGAAAAACTTTTGCTTTCTTTCTCCATTCCAAACTGAAAACCTGTTACCTTCCAGATGCTCTAGTATGACTTTTATAGGCCCCAACTTAGCTATTATTTTTGTACCCCACCTTCTGCTTTTACCTTATTCTGAATCTCGAGAGTAGCATGTTTTTTGCAATTCTAAGTAAGTTTCTTCTAAGCTAAGAGGAGAAGAGAGACAGGCAAATTGGAGCCAAAAAAAAAGAGAAGAAGATTACAAGAATCCAGATGCTTTTGCTCAAACAATATGGATTCAGTTCGATTAAAATTGGGGATAAGATTGGTCTCTCTTCTTCTGACAATTATTAGATGTATAAAAGATTCCCTTTGGCTTTTGCAAAATGCTGGCAGAAAATTATCACCGACAATAGCTGTTTGTACTAAAAGGTGTTAAACACTTGTAATAAATATTTTTCCTTATTTCCCCCAGGATCCAGTTCTATCTCTGTCTGGCGAAGCATAAAAAAGAACGGTCATGCCCAGTTTTAATAGGCAATAGGATTTTCAGGCCCCAAGAGTTGTTTCATAGCCTGGCAAGGCTATAATAAAACTGTCCACTGTTGCCACAAGATTTTCCCCATCAAGTAATCTCCCTTGTCACCTCCCCCAGCTGCCTATTTGTTGTGCCTGTTAGAAAGGAAAACAGGCCATTTGTATTGGACCTAAAAATGCAGTTTTTTCAGCATAAACATTTTCCTAGGGTAAGCATGCATTTCTAAAAACCAGCAGTCGATGCAATCAGAATGATCCTTGAAGAGCACTGAAAACAAATGGTATTGATGCCTAAATTCTAAATATTTTATTCAAATAGGAATGTGACTTCTTTTCGGTACCCTTTGGATGCCCATTAAGTACAAAACAAAAATACATATGCTGTACAATAGCCATGTTGTCCAAATGGAAATCAAAATGGCAGATGAGGTGGGATAAAATACATCTTTAGTTAGCCATTGGACTCTTATAGAAAAGATGCTTTGAAAAGGTGCTTTTTTATAAGAATCAAGCATGGATTCTATCTCTCAGGCCTCAGGAGCATCCTCAACCACTAGCAGAGTCATCTATGTTGTAGCACCAGTATCCTTTTACTAAAGAATATATTTACATAGCATGCTCTTTCTCAAGATGCATGCACATATGTGCATATACACACACATAAAGAGTTTCCTGGTTGTTTTGTCAGGCAGTGGAAAATGTTTGTATATGCCCTAAGATTGGAATTCAAACCCTAACTGGAAACATGTAATGTGTTTTGAGTTATTATAAACTGCCTGGAATTCTTTAAAATGAGGTGTCAAATAGAGCAGGGCTCCTCAACCCCCAGTCCATGGACTGGTACCGGGCCATGGCATGCCAGGAACCAATCTGCACAGACAAGCAAAGCCCCATCTGTGGGATGCAGGCAGCACACAAAATCACACACCCTCCAGTCCACGGAAAAACCTCTCCACAGAACTGGTCCCTGGTTCCCGAAAGGTTGAAATAGAGAGGTATTTTAAATTTTGATGCATGATATTACTTATGCACATTGTCTCAGTACATCCCAGTGTACGCCTCTGAATTGTCACTGACAATTCTTGGGAAAATCTTTTCAAGACTACATGTATGTTTTCCAACTATGTGCATGAAACCCTTTCCCCAATAATTCCCATTCAAAGAGAAACTAAGAAGAGCATTTCAATTACTCCTTAAAACTTGCCTTTCTCATCTTATGTAATGTGCCTATAAGTCACATATGAACTAGGAATTTGGTCTCCAAAACTAGAATTATTGACCAAAGAATCCAAAAGTTTCTTCATGTTTGTGGTTGTAGAATGTAGGAAGAAGACAATCTTCTTAGATTCCAGTATCCATCTGAAATCTCCAGCAGCTTTTCTTGAGCTCTTCCCAAGATTTCTTATTACTATAACTCTGGTTTCCATTCATGAAGTTTTCCGGAGATCAATCATTTAAGGAGTACATAGCAATCAATCATTTAAGGAGTACATTTCAAAACTTAAGTTCTGAACTGGCTCACTCATTGAATGAATCAGCAACATTGGGCGATGTGTCCAAGAAATGACTGAATTCATAGTAGAGAATGTTAAGAAAGATGTCAGCAGTTTTTGCTATTACAATTGTGTAGGGTGCATCAAGATTAGGTAACTGGTTATTTAAATCAGTGTTCCTCTGAATTCTGTCTACCATCAATCAGTAATGACTACTTCCACCATTGCTGTTGTAATTTTATCTAATGAATCTACCATGACTCTTCATTGGCTAACAAAGCCACCCAGCAACCCTGTTCATTTCCCAAACCTCCCAGCACTCTTAGGGCACAACCAGAGGGCTATGTTAGCATAGTCCTCCCCTTGATTTGGCAGAAATTTATGTCAGCATAAATTGTGCTTTCCTCCCTCATTGCTGATTCTACTTCTCCCTTAGTAACAAGACCAGCAAATGGTGCTATTTTTACTGTTTGAATGTGGGACCAGTTAAGAAAAATGATTAGTGGATCCTCTGGCTTCATTCCTTTCTCACTAAACACCACCTGCTAGAAATTGTTCCCCTTAATATATGGAGAGATGGAGAGGAGTGAGTGTAGCTAGTCACTTGAAGTTGTGTTTTAAGCCACCTGACAAGATGCCCAACTAACAGGTCATAGATGTAGAGGTGTGCTCTGCCTCAAACCTGAAAGCCTGGTTGTTTCTGAATATGGAAGTAGGAGTCTCCTAGGTAGGAACCAGGTCCTCAAATAGCTCAGGTGACAGGCCAGAGAAACAGAGGAGAGAGAGAGGGCAGGGAGTGATTATTTATTAATAGAAATTTTTTATGCTATCCAAATCATTAAGAAAACACAACTGACTTTCTGCAGGTGGTACTGCAGGGGAATGGTGCCATTCTCCATAATCCAGTAGTGAAAAAGACTGTGAATGTGAAATTTCTCATCAGCTCTCCCTGGTGACAGTTCTAGCAATACACAGAAGGTAAAAATCAGCCTTCAGTGTAGTACAAAACATCATTCTCTCAGGAAGGCACTACTCTTGTTTTCTTTTCCCTATTTAATATTTTTTCCAGCAATTTGCTAAACCTGTACTTAAGAAAAAGATTTAGTCCTCTCCAAAAGTGTGCTCAATATGTGTCTGGGTATGCAATATGTGTATGCATATATGCATGCATGTGTGAATGTAAGCATGCAAGAAAAATCTATCTATCAAGCTACAATGGACCCATGGGATAGTTTATGGTTCATAACCTACAAAATCTTGATCGCAGGGAAGCCAAGGAGGCTTCCCATGCGAGAGGCATCATTGTTAACCCTGATGTCATGTGTCTCTAAGCCTAATTTTAAAAGTACTCTGCAAATAACAATCAATTGATCATAACCTCCTGTATAGGTAGAGAGACAGACAGATACAGTCAAAGATTGAATTTGCCCGTCTCAGTAAGCCTACATTTTGTTTATTCAAGCCTTGCTGAAAAAACTACAAATAGAAGACTTTATATAATGTTCTTATAAACCATGATTTATCAGTTGGGTTCACACACAGTAATTCATAAAGAATACATTCCACTAGGGGCTTTTGAACATCAAATGTGTTCAATTTTATATTGGATTTTTATATGAAAATTCAGTGTTGGGCTCCAGAAATAATCTACATAGTACTTTGGAGCATGTGTGACTACAAATGCAGTCCCTTTCTGCATCTTTTTATTCTGCTCCAACTTTTGAGTAGTTTCACACTGGAACCTCATAAAGAAAAATTTTAGTAAGAATATAAGCCAGGAGCAATGAGCTTGTAATTTATATTTTATTTTGCACAAGCTTGCATATATACTGCACATACATTCAATTTAGAGAAGATGGAAGGCACACAAGGCAATTGAACTACTGTATCCTTTAAGTGGTACAAAGCAAAAAGGTAAAGATCTGGAGAGTATACAAAAGCTTAAAACACACACACAAAAAGGAGTTCCCCCCAGCTGCCCCCCCCAAAAAAAAACATTTTTCCTGATTTCTTTTCAATTTAGTAGCTGCCAAGCTAGAATTATAAGTTTTTCAGTCAATTGTCTACTGCACCTTTTTTTCCTCCATACAGACAGGGGAGTCTTCATGTTTTATCACATCATCAATTAATATTACAGTACATCCTTGGCAATACAAAATTGTACACCATCAAATAAATTAGGATAAATTAAACCAATAAATTATGCAAACTCTTCAGAACAATAGACAACAACAAACCCCCCCACAGTTGAAATTGCCTCTATCTAAATAATAAAATTAAAAATAATCTAAAAATTGAATTCATTATTTCAGTTATTGTACTAACTTCAAATTAAAGGGTTTTTATTACAAAAAAAGCTTTGATAATGCTATTTACAATATATTGCTAAATAATATAAAGGCAGTGTTTTGTAACTTTTGTAACTATATACATGTGAGAAGTAGCTGGGACAACAGCAATATTTATGCCTTAACCTTTGATTCTTCCAGTTTAAAAAGGTACAGTATTTTTCTGATTCTTGAGTTCAGATTAATATGAAAATCTTCCTGGTAAAAATGTATATGTATGTTTACATTTTTTAAATAAATTCTACAGTATTATATTAATACCTTAACAAAGTCTAGAGCAGGGGTGTCAAACTGGCGGCCTGCAGGCTGGATGCGTCACGCACAGGCCACGCCCACCCCAGCTCCGCAAAGGCAAAAAACATCACGATATGTCATGTGAAACGATTGAGTTTGACACCCTGGTCTAGAGTAAAAACACTGGGAACAAAATTTAAACTTGCCATCTCATCCACATTTGACCATATATTTCTTGGACTCTTTTGCTGTCCGAGTAGAGAAAATAGCTGAAGATTTTATACTTTTCATAGTTTGAAACAGCGTTAGCCCTAAGAAAATTCAAAGGTTAATTGACAGTTTATATCCCAGATCAAGCTCTTAATATTTTCAATGGTTTATAACCAACAAAACTGTATTTCCTTCAACAGAACATTTAAGTGCAATATAGTAACTGTTTATTAATATAAACCAGTTACATTCATTAAGGGGAGCTTTTTAAAAACAATGTTTATTAAAAATTTCCAAACACAGAATACATATCCAAAAGAAGTCTTTGCACTAAACACCAATAATTACTATATAATACACATGACAAATAGAAGAGGATTAAAAAAAATTACTTTTTATGTACAATGCTCCTTTGAGGGGATTTGCAAACCACTTATATATATATATATATATAATTATTTATTTATATATATTTTATATATATTTATATTTTTCCATTCTGCTGGTGAAAGTCCTATATTTAAAGCCACAAAATCTTCACTTTTACTTTTCACTTAATAGTAACCTGTGGAGGGAAGAATCCATTGCCAATAAATTACATTGTGCACATAGAAAAAAATCTGTAATATTACAGAAAGTGGATCACTCTTCTCCTGGATACATGATGAAAGAAATCTATCTTTAAAAAGTATTGAGCTGGGTTTTAAAGAATGCTTTCAACTATCTATGCAGTTACTGCAGCAATTCCTATAAATTTAACAGATGTTCTCAGAATGTAGTTATTAAAATCATATGCCTTTTGTTCAAGAAGAGCCACAAGCTGAATATATACATTGCTTTATAAAAGTTCCCCTTGGCTATCGATGTTCACCCACATACTCGGTACAGTAACAATGATTCTGCAAACTTAAAACACTTAAAATTAAATAATATTCAGAGGCACAAAGCAAACCTCAAGAATATATGGGTGAACATTTCCTTAAATAATTATTACATCCTAATATCTTTCACTTTTTAAAAATCATTTAATGTGAAGCGTTCCCATTACACAACCAGAGATACAGTAAGAATTAAGTGTTTTATAGCTTCAAATAGAACATTCTTCTCACAAAGCATAAGAAATGTCTAAAATAGGTTCTTAATCTACATTGGAAAAATGTAAGCTTTTCACTTCACACGTTTATTGTGTGTGTATAAGTATATATACATATATATATATATATATATATATCTTTATATATATTAGCAGGTGTACATATGGTTATATATGTATGTATATGTATACACATATATATAATACGTATGAAATATTGCTCCTATATTACTGTTTGTTAGGCTAAGAAAACACAAGATCTGCACCACTGTTACAAAAAATTGGCTTCTACAAGAAATTTTCAAAATTGAATGCTGCTCAAACGATTGAGAAAAAATAATTTGCATTATCAAACGGTTCTAAAAATTATCTTCTTCAAAAACTTATTCTCCTGCTTTTGTTTTTAATGTTCTTTAAAAAGACACAAAATGTGCATAGCTATCAACATTGTGTTAAACAGCTGGAAAAAAGTGGAGAGAAAACCAGTGTTTATTGCATCTGGGGAACTGTGTGGAGGAAGGAAGGTCCAAACATGAAAATTGTAAGCCACAGAAGGCACAAGAATAATTGTACTGGTTAAGGGAGAATAACTGGTAATTTGAAGGATTTGTTTTATCTAATCCTTCCGCTGGTGCATTTAAGGTCTAGGCACACACTATAAGCTCCAGTTTCTGTAGTAAGGAAAATAGAGAAAGAGGAGAAAATTGAATGTCAGCACAGAATTTCAAGATCTTTTTTAAAAAGTGTTTTAAATTAATTTCTCTATGTTAATTTCTTTTTCCTATATTAAAAATACATTCTGTCTTTTCTAATTCAGTCCCATCCAGTTTTGCTAACAAAAAAAAGGGGGGGGGGACTGGGACTGGAGGTATAACTGCAAGGACATCCACAGGAATGATCAAGAAAGTCAAAATAGTGGCCTTATTTGTGGCACTCATTTTTTCTATGTGTTGCATTGAACATAAACAGGCAGAACTTTGACTACACTTCCATGGCTGCCATTATTTATTTTTAGTATATTTTATGGACAATTTGAATCATTATTATTGCTGGACGTGGGTCAGTTTTATATTTTGCTGCAGTCTCCTGACATTAGATGCTGATCAAGGAATGCCTGGCTACAAAATCAACAGTAATCAGGTGCAGCATTATCAAAAATTAGAATACTCATGCAAAAAAAAAAAAAAAATCCATGTCAGATTCATGGAGATGAAATGACCACAATTCTTTCTCAAAAATTCCCAGGAGGTATATTTAGATACATTGGATTACGGGGCTTTGCTTCATAGAACTGTTGATCTGAATGCTTCCAAATTCCAAATCAATAAAGCTATCCTCTTATTTTCTCCTTTTCTTCTTCTTTTTAAATGGACAGAAGACATAGTACAACAACTTCAGCAACTTGTGCTGCTCTAGTGGCTCAGCGTGGCAATGAAATCTATGGCACAAGGTGATCATTTTATTCTTTAAAAATGAAATCCTAAAAAAAAATCATTGGGAGGATGAAAAAAATATACTTAAAACAGAACAAAAATTGACATTTCACGCTCAATCTGATGTGCTTTGGGAGGCACAAAGGCAACACAACTAACACAATGAAATGATCATTAAATAACTAGGGAATAATCAGGTATAGATCTTTTTAAAAAAACAAAACAAGGTTTGGTTGGTTCTATCCCCACTCCTATGATCGTTTTGAAGCCTCACTCACTCTCATTTTTCTATAGGCTATGTTTCAAATAAATAAATGGCATAAGTTTTAAAAGATCATTGAGTTTGAAATGACCATTTCATTTCAAGACAAACTGCACAAAGTTTACAGCACTAAGGTAATTAAAAATGTATAGTCTTCAAAATTGTGTCTAAGAAATTAAATATGGCTTTAGTTGGGTATGTTTGGTCATGGCCAAGGTGATAATACAGTAGGAGGGTTTGCTAAAGTGGGCTACTAGAAGATTTCATGCTATTTTGAATATGGAGAGAGTTGAAGAGCTTTCTGTAATAATGTGAGGACAATATCTCTCTTTAAGCCTCCTGTACTTTTCCATAAATTTTTAGCAGAAGCAAACTTTAAACCACTTCTTTCAAAGTAAGACGATAAAAGGACGTAAGTTGGACTGTCTGTTGGATAAATAGCAACTACCGGGAGGGTGGATATGCTTTCCCATAATCCTTTCTCTTTGTAAACTACTTCTGGTAATTTAGTTCAATTTGATTTGAACTATGAAGTTCCTTGTATACATCAGGGACAAGGAACAGTTGTTTAATGTTAGTTTAGGATCTTAAACTATGATCCAATAATGATTTCAGATCCTACTGATCTTAAACCAGTTCCTTAGGTCAGATATATCGGGGAGCACACCAGAATAAAAATATCAAAAGTAACATTCAAGAAGAAAAGCAAATATGGGAACCTATCCCTGGATTAATAAACTATGTTTTATTTTATTTTTTATCTAGAATAAAGTATTACATATGAAAAGATCCACTGGACTTTTTCTTTCATGTAGTGTGTGCTTTAGTGTATCTTGCTGGCTTCAGCAAAGCTTTTGCACCGAGAAAACTGCTATTCTGCGTATTGAGAAACCCTGTGTGTTTCTGTCACTAGACAAAGGCCTGTGCCCTCATTTTTTTTTAAAAAAAAATCTGCTGGTTTTAAGGCTTTTTTTTTTTTTACTGTCAACTCTTTTCATCATTTTTGATTCTCAAGCAATATTTATAAATGAGGCATCATTGCAATGACTAGGTCAGCTTTTTTTATTATCGTAATGTATATGGAGTAAACTTTCACTCTCCAAAGTGTTTGTTTTTTCTTTAAAAAGCAATTTTAAGAAAGGGATGAAAAAAGGAGAATCCTAAAGAAAATTATCTGCTGAACTTAAAACTGCCACCGTGGTCAATTAGGACTGAATATGATTCAATTTCCTGGGAGGAGACAAGAGGTGACATGATAAATACTAGTCCAGATAACAATAAATTCTTACTGCATCTGTACAAAAGACACAGAAAATGACAAACCACATTGTGCCACACCATACAGGTAATTCTGCTAGACATTACCACTTTCCCAAAATGTGAAAAAAAAAGATACCTCTGAAGAAAGCATAAAAAAATTCAGGGGAACGTTTTCTTCTTTTTCGAATTAGACAGATTGTTGCAATTCATTTCAGCTAGATCCAGACCACCCTTATTTCTGCTTTTCAATGAAAAAAATCAACCTTGTTTTTGTCATTTTGAGATGAAATTCTATTTTGGACTTCAATGAGCATTCTTGTCCAGTAAATACCAACAATCTTATCCAACAAAAAGTAAACATATTCTGTCCTTGCTGAAAATGGCAGCCTTAAAATAAGATCCTCCCATCACCAGCAAGAACTTGCTTATGTTGGGGTATTAGGATGTTTGGGGCTTGCCGGCCCTTGTGTCATCAACCTGCTGGTGGGGAACACAAAACATCGTGCTCTCAGTATGCAATTAGATTAATATCATAGAAAATAGGGAAATATTAGCAATTTTCAGTGGCAGCTCTGCATTCAGCACGTTGAGTTTAGCTTTATTGAAAGATGCCAGAAGTAATGGCTCTTCGTTGCAAAAGATTATCTTGAAAATATCAGGACAACTCTGAAGAGCTCCATTTTTAATACATTATGCACTGCTCTCATGTTTTGTTTAGCGCTAACTTTTGCTGTAGAACAGAAAGTATTTTAGTACTTCTATTCAGTGTAAATCTGAGGAATAAATAAAGTGACTAGGTTTTATTTTCCTAGCCACTGGGACAAAAGTACAAATTCTGCACAAAGTTTAGGCGCAATCCAGTTCTCATGAAGCGTGCTCAAAACTTAGAAAGTTAGTTAGCACAGTTAAACACTTAACTGTATGCACAGTTTTCTCCAGAGTTGTGCTTTCAGTATACATTGTGCCTAGTTTATTCCTTTAATCAATATTTTCTACAAAAATGTTTCTGTTCCATTTCTAATACATAGAAAGTGATCTTGCACTCTGAGATGATGTCATTTTTGCCATAGTAATTTGAGAATAAAGCAAACATATCTTACAATGCTTTTCAGATGAAAAAGTAGTTAAAACATGTTTTCAGGTAAAAATATGAAATATCAAATATATACATCACCTAAAGATTTCAGAGAAGGGGAAGAATACATTTGTATCAAATGCTATTTAGAAGATGGCCCAGGCCCAGCTGTTCAATGTGATGAAGTAAAAGGGCACAATTCAGTGAAAATAAAACATTCATAATTCATCATAGTCATCCTATAAACATCTGGTTAGAAATCACTTCTGGACTTAGTCCCCAAATACACGTGCCTGGGATTGCCCCTTTTGGATTCCATGGGTTTCAATAGGAAATATTTTCCCATAACCAACAAAATAATTTAAAATGCTCCACTAAGACCAAATACCATACAGCAACTCTTTTTTTACTTTATGGAAAGTGACATGCAATTGTTTTGAGGAGGTGACCATATCACAGAATTGTATTAGCCAAACTTACAAATTATCTTGCCTTCATTTGCTTTGCACAGCATTGCCTTGCTTGAAAGAAGAAAGGGAAACATAGCTAGATAAATACAGCTGAGGCAAACATCAAAAAATGAGGGCATTCCAGCTCTGGAATCTTGGATTCATCCAGTTCCATCTCCAGTCTATTTTATTTTGGATCCAGCACTTTTAACATGTGGTGAGCCCAACATGGAACAGAACAGAGCATACTTTCAACTCTGTGGTGACTTCTGAGAGAACTTGCCACTACTATTGTTTCCCAAACTTCCTAACAATAGAAATAGTAAATAGATAACTCTCCCAAAAACCTGACAGTAGGGTTCAAAAAGCTTGAACACATGCTTTTAGTAGAATAAAAGATGCCAAAATGAGGGCATATATTGTTCTCATAAAAGGAAAGTCATAAAGCTTAGAAGAGATGTCTTTTGCTCTCAGTTGAGCAAGGAAAAGAGGATTTATATATCTTCTATGGAGTTACACAAAAAGTGCGCTTCCTTCATTAGCAGTTGAACTAAAAATTTAGAAACCTTAGCTGTGAAAATCCCCCATAGGATTAAGAGCTTTTAATACAAACAAAGGGCTATCACCTTCTGTAGGATTTTACCATGACATCTGGAGAAAACAACCAACCAGGTAATGAGTAATATATAATAAGATAGATGATAGATAGATAGATAGATAGATAGATAGATAGATAGATAGATAGATAGATAGATAGATAGATAGGCTTGTACACACTTCAAAACATTCTTCTTCTCAAGGGATAAGAAAAGGGACCAGGAGAGAAAGAAAATGCCCCAATACTGTTTTTTCCCAAAATGTTAAAAGTCACGGGCAAAAATAAAACAAAAGCTGGAGTTAAAATAATTATACACTTATTACTGACCTAAACCTATAAGAAATCACAAGGATTTCTGATCTGATTTCATATATGAAATTAATATAGAAACACATACACACACATTCACACAAAGCTTGGGCATAAAAAAGGGAGAGTCTGCTACTTTTTTTTAATACATTCATAAATAGCGGTGGAAAATCTCTACTCATGAAGAAGCTCTTGGAGGCAGTTCGGGGATTTGAAAATCTCAGGAACTTCACTGTCCAGCTTACAGATGACCTTGTATATGGCCTTCTTCCAGGAAGGATCAACATCTTTGCCTGCGATAATGGCATTGAAAAACTCTCGTAATGTGATCTGAGCCACTTCCAGGAATCTCTCTGGAACCTGCTGATACAAGGAGACAATGGCATTAATAAAAGTTTTCAGTTTCAAGTCTCTGGATCTTCAAAGGAAACTGAGCTAAGTCCTTGCTTTCAAAAGGGAGCTTACATAGCACCTGCATTTTCTAAATGTAGCAGGACTCTATTCTCTTAGGCAAGGCTGTTATATATAGTACAATAACTTTTAAAACATGTGTTAGTTAGCTTTGTAAAGATGAACTACAGAATGTTAGTATTAGAATATGAACATCTGGGTTTAGAGGGTGCTGTTTTTATAAGATATAATTAACAAAGGAGGGAATGAGGGGGAAAGGCAATTGCCTTGAGATCTGCAGGATATAATGCTCATATATAAATTCATTATTTTCTCTAAGAGCATGAAGCATGTGCTGAAAGCACCTTTTGCTCTTTGTTTTTGTGTGTTCCTTTGGTACAGCTAATGCTAAGAATCAGCAAGAGAACAGGGCAACTATGCATTCTTTCTGAGAGAATCCAATAAAGCTTTACCCTCAACAGCTTGATTAAGAAGCTACCAAATTTAAAGTGATTCCATAAATAGTCCTCTTTCAGACATGATTTATTAAAAATTTATTATGCAGCATAGAACTCTGTACATGTGATGACCATAAGCCAGGAATAGACAAGATACAGCCGTTTAAAATGTCTTCATTCACAACTCTCAGCAGCCCCAACTGGCATGGACAATGTGACTGATATCAGAATTGTACTATAGTAATACCCAGAGACTCCCAGATTCCTCATTACAGCTGTATATCCATTAAAAATATATATTCAAAATATCAAATATATATATGTATGAGTTTGTGTGTGTATTTGATATTTTGAAAATAAGTGATTAAGAATGTTTTGTTTTCATAACATTTCATGACTATCCTTTGGAGAAAAGGAACTTGTTCCAAGAAGACAAGCAACCTTGAGTCATTCATTATCTTATTGCTACCTTTCCATTTTAAAAATAATGTAGTGAGTGTAGATTGATGGCTGCATCAGTAATTCACAAGTCTGTGAGTAATCACTGGCAGTGTAACTCCGAAAGCAAATGTCTTTCATCTGCTTAGGCTGAGTAGCTTCTAAACCCATTTCTCAACATCTTTTTACAAGAATTCCTCATATTAAGATGCAGCTGAGTGTTAATGTTGGATAGAAGGAAAAGTAATTGATTCTTTAACCAAACTCGTATTTTGCAGGAAAAGGGGAACAATTTAACTTCTGGCATTTTTATGAAGATTCCCAGATTCTGGAAAGTTGTTGCCAGAAAAAAAGACAATATTAATGAGACAGCTTGACAGCTTGACCCACATAAAACATTTTGATATGTTTGCTCAAAGTGTGGACTTGAATTCAACACAAGTGCTACCTGAGGCAGCTCTTCAGTCAATACCAAAACAAAAAACAAAAAACAAATCAGTAATCTTCTTTGTAAAGAGGAAGGCAATTGCCTCAAACAGTAGTAGCCATAAAACGTATCTGAGTATATGAAATTACAAATTGACATACTTTTTTATTAAAGAAAGGAAAAAGAACAATCAATTAAAATATAATCTCCAGAAACAATTCTGCATGTAGGATTTCTTCATATACTCCTGTTTATGGGATAATTTTTTTAAAGGTCAAAAGCACACCTGGAAGGAAGAAAAAAACACCCTGAAATAATACAAAGAAAAGAAAATGTGTGGTAGGACTGAAATAAAAGTCTACTTCTTTGTTATATCATTAAAAAAATATAGCATTAAAAGTTTTCTTTTATTTATATACATCAATAGCTTTCCAGAAAGATCCATGAAAAATTTGATCTTTTTCTCCCCCACATTGTCTGCAATTCCACATTTGGCTAATGAATCCTTATGCCCTATTGTTGCCAAGATGTTGGCCCAAATATATTGCATCTTACATGGAAAGCTTGAAATGCACTGAAAGCTTTGTTATCACTGTAGCAAATCAAATACAAGCAATTCACAAATAAAATTTGCCATGATGCAGACATGTGATCAGCAGCTACTGAAGTCCATAGAGGTTGCTTGAATACACTCAAAGGTGGAATTTGTACCCAAACACCAGGCACATTTTGCAAAAAACTTTTTTTTATTTACAATGCAAAAGAAATAGTGAAAACAGTTAGAAAGGGGATGTAGTCAAGACATACTTTGTTGTCACTGGAAAAAAACCCTTTTAAGCAGTCCACCCATTTGTTTCATTTTAATTATATAAATACAAAATCTAATGATATATGATGCTTCCAATTGCTAGAATTATAGAAATTATTTCCTAAACATTGACAGCACATGTTACCATTAAATGTTACATACAGTAGAGGTGCAGCTGAAAACTTGGGGAAGGTGGGAGTCATTTGCTAAATTTTGTTTTTATATATCTCATCTTTCAGAACTGTGATACAGGTAAGGAGGAAGGCAGACAAATATCAAGAGTTGTTTTATGGGTGCTATTAAAAAGGCAAGATAATTTCCTGTAAAATATGAAGCTGCTTTTTGATCTTATTTATCTAGACTAGGACCATCTACTTTCTGGAGTTATCAAGATTGTGGTTTAAGTGGTAACAATTTTATTTCTTGATTTACTTCAATACCACTTTGGCAGAAGAAAGCAATTATTCAGAAGCATAAATAGGACTCTTGGAAAATATGGTAACAATGGAATTATAAAGGAAGAAATCATGAGTGAATTCTCTATATCTCTAGCTGTGGGCCTTTAAATGAATTGCTGGAAAACCAGAGTCAAGCAGGTGTGAGGGAAACAAATTTGTCGAAAAAAAAAATTGTGCTATTTTTTGTACCAAGGAATAGAAGAGAGGTTAGCTTTCCAGTCTGATGTTTCTCCAAACATTTTGGAGTACAGTTATGAGCATTCCAGCTAACAGGGAAATAGAGATTATTCCAAACAATTGTCTACGGAAGGTAGGAATGTACGGTAAAGGCAAATTCTTAATTATCCTAATCCCATGTACAGTATATAAAATTTAAACTTTGTGAAATTTCACAATATGTTATAGTTCCATTCTTCCCCCAACACCAGAGATTTTCTGCCTTTTCTTACTCAATTTGACTTTAAATTAAAATCATTAATCTTATATTCATGACTGTAAACCACCTAAAATCGCTTTTGGCGAAATGGGCAGCATATAAGTTTAATAAATAAACAAATGCCAATATTACATCACTGACTATGTAATTGCTTAAGGATAATTCAATATTCTTCTAAATTTAAAATCAGATTGTGATTAAACATTTTTAGACTTTGCTTATGAAATCAGAATTTAAGGAACATTCTGATGAACATGTAACTACCAACTAAAAGACATGATAATAACCTGTGTAATCAGTTCCACAATTCAACAGTTTCTACAATCCTGTGAAAAACTAACTGGCCTAATGTTAACCAATGAGCCTACACACACACACACACACACACACACACACACACACACACAACAACAACAACAAACTGATAAAATATTTGATAATAAGGATGATACGGAAAGAAGACATTAAAACACTTAGGAATATAATGTATATTTAAACAAATATTCTTCTAAATGTAAAAATAATATATTTTTGGTGTTGTGGTACAGGCACAGTGTCTACTAGAATAAGCACTAGAACAGAGAAAAAATAATAGGATTCCTTAGGAATCTAATTCAAATTTAACTTTATACAATAAATTATTTATAATTAGAATAAACAGTAGCCAAATCTGGATATCACACTGATTTATTTAGTTTAGTTACATAAAGTCAGGAGGAGTTTAAGTGTCTCTTACAGGTAAGTAATAAGTAACCCTTGCTTAATGACAATAATTGGGACTGGCAACTCCATTGCTTTAACAATGCAGTTATAAACTGAGGGATCACATGACCATGTCAACTTGCAACAGCAGTTGTAGCAGTCCTAGTTGTTGTTAAGTGAATCACTGCAGGTCATTAAATAAAGACATCACATGGTCACTATTTGTGACCTCCTGGCCAGGTTCTCCATTAACTTTGCTTGTTGGAAACCAGCTATGAAAGTTGCAAATGATGATTATATGTCTGCAGGAAACTGCAACCATCATAATTATGAGCTGGTTCCTAGTCATGATTATGTGACTGTGAGGATGCAGCAATGCTAGAACTATGAGGACTGGTCATAAGTCTCTTGAAGTTTCATAACTCTGAATGGTCCCTGAATGAGTGGCCATTAAATGAGGACTACCTGTAATGCATGTCTTCAAAAAGTGTATGTGGTGCTTATAATGCTTATGGTTCAAACTTCTATAAACTGACAATAATCTCTCTAAGAGAAAGATCTTAGAAAGTTTCATAAAGGAATATTGCAAATCTGTGATAGTACCACAGCATGGCCATGTTATGTCATCTCCAAAAGAATGGCCCACAACTAGAAAATTCAAAATTATTTCAAATGCAATGGTTTTCAATATTTCAGTTCTTCAAAGCACAAGCAATGGAACCACTTCTAAGAAGTGATGGTGTGAAAGTATGTATCTTTGTACATGTGGATATGTTCTTGAGTTCTGGGATTAGAAGAAAAAGAGAGCAATATTTTATACTGATATAGTTAAAAAGAACTGATACAGTTAAAGAGAAAAAGATAATGCAATCTTGCATTCTGATAAGTAGGTTCAATCTTCAAAAGTAATACACTGAAGAGATTTACTGAGAAACCTTTTCAGAATTCAGAAAATGCTTAACCTGACTCTGAGGGTGTGTCCCATCCCTCTCTCACTGAACATAAGAGAAACAACTCTCTATCTCTCATCACTTCTTGAACAGAAGCACTCGGTGGCAACACTAAGCCTGGGCCTCCAATTCAGCCTAGTGCCACCACTTATCACTCAAAAAACCACCTCATATTCCCCCAGGCACCTGAGCCTTGGGAAACAGTATGATCGCACTGTGGTCCAGTTATCCTCAGGATCTGCTGCACTGCTTAACTTTAGGCAGTGTTCTCTTTCTTTTGACAGGTCCCCAGG